TACATGTGCCATGGTGATTTGCTGCACCTATCAATCCGTCATGTAGGTTTTAAGTCCTGCATACATTAGGTATTTGTCCTAATGCTTCCCTTCCCTTGCCCCCAGGTGTGTGATGTGAGACCCCAGTGTGTGATGTTCCCCTTCCTGTGTCCATGTGTCCATGTGTTCTCATTGTTCAACTCTCACTTATGAGTGAGAACATGTGGTATTTGGTTTTCTATTCCTGTGTTAGTTTGCTGAGAATTAGGACTTCTAGCTTCATCCATGTCCCTGCAAAGGACATGAACTCATACTTTGTTATGGCTGTATAGTATTCCATGGTTTATGTGTCATATTTTCTTTATCCAGTCTATCACTGATGGCCATTTGGGTTGGTTCTGAGTCTTTGCTATTGAAAATAGTGCTGTAATCGTATGCATTTATAATTTTAAAACAAACGTATTTGTACCAGCAACAAAATTATAATTAACAATAAAGGAAACAGGTATTAGTGCAGGGAGTTGTCTTACTAAGTAGTATACTCATGAAGTTAAAGATTCTAGTTGATAAAAAACATTATTAAGAGAACATTGATTCATTTTATTATTAAAAAATATAAGTCCAATAAAATGTGTATTATCATATATAATATTACAAATGTATATTGATAAATATTGTAATAATAGTAGTAATAATAAACATAAATATATAATATAAATATGTAAACTATATGTTGTATAAATGTAGAAAAATAATAGTAAAAATAAAAATATTGGCTAAGACTGTTTGGGAGTACATCACTAAGAGTTAAGTCAGGAAAATGGAAACCACTCTATGTATCTGTGTTAAATAGGGCATATTAAAAATGGGTTTATGATAGAGAGTTAGAAGGTTGGGCCACAGAGGACATGGAAATGCTGCTGAAGTTGGAGGGGGTATCACCAAAGGTCAGAGGAGCTGACCCTGAATATACCAGCCTGCAGCAGGGAAGCATGTGGTTGTCAAATGCTTGCCTGGAAGCTGCTGCAATTCTTCAGTGTCTTTGTGGAGCTCTCATCGCTATCTCAGTCAGCAGTGGAGGTTTCCACAAGCTTGCTAGGAAGCTGTTGTGAATCTGTCATCTGTTGTCACATCTGCCTGCAATCAACTCCGAAGATTAATATTTTTATGCTTCGCTCTGCTTTCTGAATCTCCTACACATTTCTTTCACTGGGAAACTCTAACCCAGATCATACCGAGATTTCTGAGAATTCATTCCCAGCCTTAGAAAGAGGTGTTAGTCCATCACAGAAGGCTACATATAGCTCAAGCACTTAATGGGTGCTTTGCAGTCATTATCTTATTTAATTTCCATGGCAACTGTATGATGTAGCTACTATTGTTTTTCACATCTAATAGATGGACTATGAATGTTAAAGTAGGAGATGAGGGATTCAAATAGTGGCTATTAGGCTGGGCATGGTGGCTCATGCCTATAATTACAGCACTTTGGTAGGCCAAGGCCAGTGGATAACTTGAGGTCAGAAGTTTGAGACCAGCCTGGCCAACATGGAGAAACCCTATGTCTACCAGAAAATACAAAAATTAGTCATGTGTGATGGTGAACACCTGTAGTCCCAGGTACTCGGGAGGCTGAAGTGGAAGAATAGCTTGAACCTAGGAGGCGGAAGTTGCAGTGAGCTGAGACTGTGCCACTGCACTCCGTCCATAGCCTGGGTGACAGAGTGAGACTCCTCAAAGAAAAGAAAAGAAAAATAGTGGCTATCAGATTTCGAAGCCTGAGTGTCTCATCACTAGTTTCCTGTATCTTCAACTGCATATTGTTTATATTAATTTTATTGATATAAGTATGAACTAAAACTCCTGTTGGTGACAGCTGCTAATTTATTTTGTTTGCAACTTGTATGTCCCAGTTTAACTAGCCTGGGAGTGCACACAGTATGGTATTAAAATTGATACCTACATTCTATCAATCCCTGAGTACTTAGTCTAAAACGTCCACAAACATTTTGTTCCAGGGTAGGAATGCTCTTACCACTTCATTGTTCTATTAATTTATATACACCCACAGCCTGAGAAATTCCTATTCTCCCAGGGAATTTCATGTCACGATTCTTGAACTGATGGTAAGAATTGAAGGTGAGGCTCTTCTCTCTCCCTGGAAGTGCCATTTGGCGTTCACCTTATGTACCTGAAACTGGCTTGATGCTCTAGAATACATTTTTTCCTATGGTGAATGATTCCTGTAAAACTTTCTGCAATCCATTTCTACTGCAAGTTAACATACTAGCTGTGCAACTTGATTCTCACGTTTTCAAATCTATCGGTCCCTCAGGTCTATCTCTGTGGCTCTAAATTCTTGTGGTGGAAAGAAATCAATCTTTTTATTGCCATGATTGGCAAATCTAAGGATTTAAATTTTCATGTCTGGGAAAGGGGTTTCTGTCACGTTCAAGTCCTCAGAATGATTCAAGTCCAGAAGATACATGGGTTAAGTGAGAAGCAGGGTAATTACTCTTGTAAATACCATCATTTAAAACTAGACTCTTGTCCAACCAAGATACCCAACATACCCTATTGCAAACATCTACTATGATCATTTTGCTCATAACTGAACTTGTCCTGTGTCTTTAATCTCATATATTGATTGATACAATACAAATATATCCAAAATAGTTAATACACTGATACTATTTTTAAAACTTAAGAGTAATTACTTGGTTTATTATGACTGTATAATCCAACTTCTAAAGAAAAATGTAGGAACACTTCAGTTCATTAAAAAAAGAAATCTAGAAACTTTCCATCCACTTTGAAAGGTAAATTCAAAAACAAAACAAAAACCATGAGATTTTTACAGGTGTCAGGATAGAAATGGCTGTGGCTTGTAAGTTCCATTACCTGACTTAATTTTGCTTTATCTGAGTGTCCAGATATTCTGTGACAATTGCAATCCAGTTGTACCTTCTATTTATTTTTTTTCTATTTTCTGAAACTCTTTATAATATAAAATTAGTTCAAATAAAACATAATACATAATAGAGGTAAAATCCAAAATGTTTTAGATTGCATTCCACAGATGTATAATTAGGATTTAATTGAACTCTGCATTACTTTACAATTACCTCCACAACAGTAGCAGAATGGCCTTTTTTATTTATAACCATGATAATTGAAATATTAAATAGCAGAAATGAATAATACTGGTGACAACTGTTTGCTTACTTGTTTTTCAGAATATACAAAGTATTATACTTGTCTAATAAATATCTTGCATCATAATGTATTTGTGGTAAAAATCCTTTGCTCTTTTTACTTCTAACTCTGTGTTCAATCTACACATTTTTTAAATATGCAGAAATATTTAATCCATGACTCTGTGATCAACTTGGAATCTTGTTATCTGCAAAATCCATTTAACCTCTGCCCAGAGAAAGCCATGTTTTCCTAGACTTAAAAATGTAAATAAATATCCCTTAGATAATCTGAACAGAAGTTTCTTATATAGCATGTCTGAGCACTATATTTTGCTGGGCTATGAAAGGTTTAATTGTTATTTATTGGCACAATAAGGGACTCTAGTTACTAATATCTACCTGTAGTCAATAAAGCAAGCATTGATTGGTTGATTGATTCCTTGAGTCATTCATTCAATAGGTATTGATTCAGCACCAGCTATGAGCTAGGCAGAGTTCTAGGCCCTACAGAGAAAACTGATATCAAACTAAGCAAGTCCTTTTCCAAGTGCTACAGTAGGGGTGGGGGAGGAGAGAGATAACAAACAGGTGAGCAAATATTAAACAAAATGATTCTGGAGAGTGCTAAATGCTGTGAAGAAGATAAAATGATAAAGTAATAAAGACTTCTGAAGATTGGTTAGGGTAACCTCTCGTAGAGGTATCATTGGAGAATGAAGGATGACAAACCAGCCATCTGACCATGAGAGAACATCATTCAAGGCAAAGGAAACAGACCACCACCAACAAAAAAAGATGCACTGGGGAATTTCCAGTAACACTTTTGTTAGCTCTCTTAATATCTGATTTTTTGAGCACTAGAACCACTGCCTCTCACAGAATCTGAGCTTAAAACAGCAATGAACAGACTGGAATTCTAGGCTAAAACCAACAAGATGAAATGTGACTGATATGAATATAAATGGTGCACATAAGTTCACAAACCCAATTACACAGCACAAAATGATATCCATGTGGCTTGACAGCTGTTCATATTTGAACAATCTAGGGATTCTAATGGACTGCAAATTGGAGATTGCTCTTTGGTATTCCTGACTGGAAAATATTAAAAAAAAAATGTAGATCTTACCCTTGGGCAGATTTCAGCCCACTTTAAAGTATCATTAGAGCTGTCCAAAATGGAACAGCCTGCCTTGCAGGTAGATAACTCACCATTGCTCAACTCAAAAAAGAGCAGAAGGAAGGAAGAAGGAAGGAAACGCATCAGGAATTTTTACAAAAAGAAAATTCTGTATTTCTTGGAGACTACTTTAAGACACTTTTTGGTTTCTATAAGTCTGTGGCTTATTACTTGTTTCTTTAATTCCAAGAAAAATTTCTTCACTTTTGTTATTTTTATACCATTAAGAAGAAAAAAAATGCATTTATATAAGGTAGATGGTGAAGTTTAGCAAAAGTTTAGTTTATAATGATATCTCTCAAAACAGCAAACTGAAGTTTAAAATTCTTAAGCTATAATTTTAAAGGAATTTAGATTAAACTTTTAGTATGTTGTTGGCTAAGTATAATACAAAATAAAAAATAAATGTATCTTGGCTTTGCCACATATTAGCTCTGTAACATGGACAATTTACTTCTCTGCTATTGTTTCCTCAGAATGAGGGCAGTAACTGTCTGAAAATATTGTTATAAGCACGAAGTTAGTTGCTGTATATAAAGCAGTTAGACCAGTGCCTGACAATATTAAATGCTAAGTAAGTGTTTGCTATTATTGTTGCTGTTATTATTAATTATAATTGTGCACTCTATTCTGCCTTCAGGAATTAATGACCAAGTTAATAACTGAGACACCTGACCAGCCAATCCCATTTCTCATTGACCATCTTCAGTCTAAACAAGGGAACCGTGGACAACTTCAAAGAACTTTGTCTGGATCTGCAGCTCTATGGGCAGAAAGCGAAACATCAGGTAAATGAAGAATATATATGCAGTTAATTTGGGATTCATTTAATGTCAAAATTTCAAAACCCTTTGATTCTAATAAGATAAATCTAGATAGATAGTTACCGAAGGTTTCATGTGTTCATCTCTGACCTTACCTACGTGCTAAAATTTGTCATAAATTATTAAATTTGAATATATTGTAATGTATTATGTATCAAAATACAAGAATCAGCACATTCCATTTTAATACAGATAAGATTCAGATTTGCATCAAAAGATTTTATCTTGTATAAATGCAAACTAGTTATCCTAAACTTATTTTTAATGAATAATTTGAATTAAATGCTTATAGTTTATCTATATAGAAAGGTAATAGTAGAGTTCTACAGGATTACTTTTCTTGTTGCCCAAATTGATGATTGTTCTTTATTTCTCCATGCCCCAATTTTATCCTGTGTAGTAAACCTTGGGAAGATTCACTGACTCTTTACATCAGGGAACTAGTTTTCTGAGTGTATAAATAGCCTTATCTCCCCAGTAAACACTGGTGAAAGAATTAGGTAGACATGACCTCAGTCTTTGCTCATAAAATGTGTTTACACATTGATCTGTTAGTTTGACATTTACTTTCAAATCCAAATCCCCTCATGCCCATTGCTTGGGTAACCAACTTCTTGTCTGATTCCGGTAGAAATCCGACTGTACTCCAAATGACTTTCCTTGGATAGTGTTATCTCTTCTCTCCGCCTCTTCATGCTTTATGGGATCCCATGCAAGGATTTTGGTCTTCTTTGGTTGTATCTCGTATGAATGCCTTCTTAGCCTTAACTTTCTTGGGTTTAGATTCTAAGTAGAATGGGTAGGTAGGCAGGGGCTTTGGTTTATAGGTACCAAGATGGTACCCATAAACGCAGATCAGATGAGTATCTATGAATTTGCTGTAGCTCATGTGAGTCCATATTTTATAAATCAGTATCTGAAGAGATAGGAGTATATTGAACTCTGCATTTTTTTTTTTTTTTTTTTGAGACAGAGTCTCACTCTGTCATCCAGGCTGGAGTGCAGTGGCCGGATCTCGGCTCACTGCAAGCTCCGCACCCCCGAGTTCACGCCGTTCTCCTGCCTCAGCCTCCCGAGTAGCTGGGACTACACGCGCCCGCTTCCACAGCCGGCTAATTTTTTGTATTTTTAGTAGAGACGGGGTTTCACCGTGTTAGCCAGGATGGTCTTGGTCTCCTGACCTCGTGGTCTGCCGGCCTCAGCCTCCCAAAGTGCTGGGATTACAGATGTGAGCCACTGCGCCGGCCAACTCTGCATTTTTAATCGCACACATTAAGTACCTCAGTGTTTACGTGTCGGAAGTCTGTGCATGATTTAGCTGAGTCCTCTGCTTGGTCCCACAGGGCTGCAAATCAACTTGTTGGCTGGGTTACATTCTCATCTGGAGGCTGGACTAGGAAAGAATCTGCTTCCAAGCTCATTTGGGCTGTTGGCAGAACTAATTTTCTGCAGCTATATGGCTGAGGTCCCTATTTTCTGACTGACTTTCAGCCAGGAGCTACTCTCGCCTCCTAGGTGCAACCCAGAGTCCCTGCCACATGTCTCTCCCATCACGTCAGCTTACTAATTCTTCCTCCTTTTCTCCTTTTTCCTCTTATTCTCCTCCTCCTCCTCCTCCTTCTTCTTCATCTTCCTTCTTCCTTCTTTTTTTCTTCTTTAAAATGGAGTCAGGGTCTTGCTCTATTGCCTGGGCTTTAGTGCAGTGGCATGATCATAGTTCACCATGACCTTGAACTTCTGGGCTCAAGTGACCCTCCTACTTCAGCCTCCCAAAGCATTGGGATCACAGTTGTGAATCACCACACCCAGCCGGCAACCCACTTCTTTAAAGTTAACAAGGGCATTTTTCTCATTCCAATCTACTACGATAGATCTTATATACTAGAATGTAATCATAGCATTGACACCTCATCACCTTTGCCATATTCTACTGTTTCAAAGCAAGTTAAAAGTCCTGTCTGCATTTGAGGGGTGGGGATAATGTGGGAGGAAATACCATGGGAAAGAGATCATGGTTAAGAACTACCATGTTATTCTATCAGTTCTCTTAGTACCTGTTGATGAATTTTAATTTCTTGCGGCTCACTTGAGTAGATAATTTTAGCAGGCTATTGGATGTGAGTCTAAAGCTTTGGGGATGGGTCAAAGCAGGAGTCCCAGATGTGACCTTCAATTTCATACAGATAACAGTAAGAGTGAAAGAATAAAGGAAGATGTGGGTCCAATTTATAGATAGCGTATGGGATGGACTGGGAGAAGGCAAGTGTGAGATGATTTCACGTGCCCTAAATTTTGTCTATTTATTATGTGGTGAGGGCATTTGCCAAGACAAGTGGTTGAGGGGTCAGATAGGGAAGACTGAAGTAAGCGCACCAATTATGGAAAGTCACCAAGAGAAAGGAAAAAAGAGTTGGCAAAGGAAAATTTTTTAAAAAGATTGTCATGCAGTTCTGGGGCCTAACTGAAGTCGAGGACATGAATTAATTATTATTAATGAATCATGGAAACCATGAGTAAGATTGTTATTTTTCTCTAGCAGTGCCCAGAAAGTTCTGGGAAGGAAGAGAGAAAACAGTTTGGGAGACTTTGAGAATTGTGGTTGTGTTACTACAGCAAGGGTGGGAGAACAGTTTTGCAAAAGGAGTTGAGGGTATTTGTGAGCAAACTGCAGGTGATCAAGCTGTCTGAGAAGTAGAGAGCAAGTGGAGGGGGAAGTTCAGACAGAGAAAGCCAATCAAAACTTTCAGGAGATCAATATGGTGAAAATATGAGCAACGCAGAAGGATACAAGCTGTGCTGAGAGATTGTGATATTTGAGATCAAGATGTTTGATGTGGAATGATTCCAGATAATGAGAAAATCCTGTGGGCAGCTTTAGTTTACGGGCAGCAGAAATATCAGGGAAGCGAAGCTCTTCAGAGTTGAGCAGGGCAAGGAAGTATGAGGCTTAATGCATGGTTTGTCTAAGGATAAATAGGTCAGTATAGTTTCTTTCAAGTTGTTGAAAGGACAAGAGACAGGAAAAGACTATGCCACTGTCTGAAGTAAGGCTGTGAGATTGATCAGAGGCGAAAAGGTAGTGATAATGTGTGATAATGAAGAGAAATGAGTAGTATAGCTAAGTGACATTTCCCTTAAGAGAACAGACACTTTTACTTTACTCTTGAGGCTTCTATCATAGAAGCCTCACTGAATCAGGAAATTCAGCCCTGCTTCCACAGCCTGTGGTTGGTGGAAAATGGGACATGGGGCAAGAGCATCAATCATCCCAGGAAGCTGCAGAGGAGGGAACACTATCGTGGGAAGAATGGGGGCTGTGCTAAGACATGAAAGGGGACATTTGAGGATAGAAGAGTGTTTATGTGGAAGGTATGGCCCAGAGGAAGAGGAAAAATTTTAGAGGGGAAAGTATGGTAGGAAGGAAGAGAAAAGCATAGATGAATTGTTGGATATGAATGAAACTAAAGAGGTTATAATTGAATGATGGTAAATAATGCCACTTTAAACTCTGACTATAATTTCGAATTATTGATTTTAGTGAATCTTTTTATTTGTTTGTTTTGGTTTTTTGTTTTGTTTTGTTTTTTGAGACAGAGTCTCGCTCTGTCACCAGGTTGGAGTGCAGTGACGTGATCTTGGCTCACTGCAACCTCTGCCTCCTGGGTTCAAGCGATTCTCCTGCCTCAACCTCCCGAGTAGCTGGGACTACAGGCATGCACCACCATGCCCAGCTGACTTTTTTTTGGAATTTTTTAGTAGAGATGGGGTTTCACCATGTTGGCCAGGATGGTCTCAATCTCTCGACCTCGTAATCTGCCCACCTCTGCCTCCCAAAGTGCTGGGATTACAGGTGTGAGCCATCACGCCCAGCCTGGTGCATCTTTTAATTAGCTAGAAAACATCTCAATATTCAAAGTACATGGGTATCATACTTTTCGGAAATATCTGAAGATATTCTCTTGTTGCCTTTAAATATATCTAGCAACTTGGGACACAACATTTTCTCCTTAAAAGTCTGCCATTTAATATTGTGGAGGAGAATCTTGAAAACAGCCTTATTTTTATTCCTTTGTAGGAATAAAAGACAAATGATTTTTCTTGAATACTTACAAATTTTTTTATTTCTAATATTCAAAAGTTTTGCTGGAATGTCAACTATGATTTTTCAGGAAAATCTATTATGTGTAAGTTGAGTCTTATTTACTGTTCTCTGTTTTTCTCATTTCATTTGGCATTGTATTTGCCTTTCCTTGTTGACTGTCCTCTAGAGAAGTGTATCAAGCAAAGTGTTTTCTGTATGTCACTGATTCAATTTTCTACACTATCGGTTTTCTCTTTCTGGCTTTGAACACAAATTTAAATGTTGGTATTGCATTTTAGTTTCCTGTTGCTGCTTCTTTATCTCATCTTCTTTTTATTATTTCTGTACATAGTTACATTTTTATTCATAGGTTGGTTAGCCTATCTCCTTTCTAATTTCTTTTGGCTTCATTGAGTCCACTTTCTTTTATTTTTGCTGAGAAGACAAAACAGTCACAGTCACATTCCAACATTTAATGGCTTTCCATTATAAATATTTTTTAAAACTATGATTACCTCTGCATTGTGAATACTGTATTCTTGTTTTTTATTAAATGATTCTTAGAATAATATTTTCTGTTTTTATTCAAACTTCAGTGAGGAATGTTCTATCCAGTTCTAGATTTATCAACAAATAGTGTAGGTGGACTCTTCTTTGTTCTCTCTCCATATATCTTGGAACTATTTGGATTCTTTTCAAAACTTTAGAGAGGTGAAATCATGGTGGCTATTAAAATTTTCAATATTAGTTGAATCCTTTAAGCTTCTGCAAAATTGATGCATGACTTACTATCTCTTATCTCTTTCCAATGAATTAGATAAACATATCATTGCTAAATTATTTGAATTAATATGGATTTTTTCTTGCTATAAGTAGAGAATAAAGAAAGCCACAACATTCATTTCATTCCACTCTGGCTCCATTTAATATTCCTTTATAATAGTCCTTTATATCATGAGATGCCATATTTTATGACCAAGGTTTTTTTCTCCCATTACCTATGTTGCATTAGAAGAATTGATAGTCCACGAATGGATGTAGAAAGACAAATTCTGAAAGACTGTGAAACAACATAAGGAGATGATTCCAAGTTTGGGGTAGATACCTAGAAATCTTCCATTCTCTTTCTGACTGGCCTATATCCTCTCTTAACCTTATCTATGGAAATACTTCCTGGGTTCTAGCAGGTCATGGACAAATATTTATGTTCCTAATGCTTTAGAATTTTCATGGCTTTTTGGTATGTAATGGGATTTTGGAGGTGGACAAATTGGGTAACAGCTAGTTAAGTACAACCTTAACATGAAAGTTTGAGGAATCCATTAATGTGTAATGATGTATGTTAGTTATTTATAAGTGAGTGGCCGGAGAAAGACTCATGAGTCATCCATGAAGCTAGGGTGGTTTTTAAGTTTGTAAATTAAGACAAGAAGGCATAAAGAAACTAAAGAATGCCACATAGATTAGAGGAATGGAAGACAAGGAAGGAATAAATGAGATGAAGAAAGAGTTATCAGGTGATATGGGGATGAGGAAAAAGATTGTTCTGTATAAAAACATGAAATTCTTGTAAAAGAAGTCAAGATGGATGAACTCTTGAAAGGCCCTTTAATTGTAGCATGGCAAAGACAGTGACCACCTTCTAAGGGGAATTTCAAAGCAACAGTGTTGGTTGATTTAAATTTATCTTTCTTGCAATAGAAGATAAATTGATTTAGGTGAATATCAATGGTTTTATGTGTTATAATAGATAAGGTGGCATCAAGTGAGTGAAATTTACTGAAATGTTTGTTTTTATTTACAACAGAATGCAATGCTTTATTCCATGACATTCATAGAATGTTATTTTAAGTGAAGGGAACTCATGCCTGAAAAAAATTTCAAATTAATTTCATGGGTTTTTGTTTTTTGTTTTTTTTGTGTGTGTTTTTGTGTGTGGGTTTTTTTTTTTTTTGACAGAGTCTCTGTCACTTGGGCTGGAGTGCAGTGGCACAATCTCAGCTCACTGCAACTTCTGCCTCCTGGGTTCAAGTAATTCTCCTGTCTCAGCCTCCTGAGTAGCTGTGATTACAGGTGCCCACCACCACACCCGGCTAAGTTTTGTATTTTTAGTGGAGACGACGGAGTTTCACTATACTGGTCAGGTCTCAAACTGCTGACCTCAGGTGATCCACCCACCTCGGACTCCCAAAGTGCTGGAATTACAGGCGTGAGCCTCCACACCCTGCCAATTTCATAGTTTTATATGATATAATTTTAATCATATGCATATATAAAACTGATTCATAGCAGATTTAGAAGTCGAATTTACAGATGAAATTAAACAAGAAGTACTTTTGCGTGTGTACATTATTTTTGATCTGAGGTCACCTGTATGTTTTGTCAAGTGTATTTAATGACTCGTGGACTTGGTTTTTGTTCAATCTTGAAATCACTTTGTTGCGATTTGATATATATTTTGTTTTAACAGAATCCAAAGGAACAAGAAGGGATTTCAGAAGCTATGATAAACCTTGGCAATTAAATGCAAAGAAGCCTAAAAAATCAAAAAGTGACCTTGCTGTGTCTAATATTTCTCCACCACCAACGGACTCCAAATCATGTAAGGAAGTTTCTTATTCAAATGCTATTCAAAGCATGTAAGTTTGTGTTGTTAAGAAAATGAAGAAAAGGTGGTCATTGAAGCCCAACTTTTCATCTGATATTTCTGGCCTTTAATCTTAGTGAATTTCACTTTTACTCTGCATTTGATCTTTATTCATATGTATCTATTTGCTTGCTTATATTCTCAAACATGTGTAATTCACTTAGACCCTTTTTGAATATAATATTCCTTGAAGAACATAAACTACATGGAGCAGGTCTCTTGCCTCTCATAGTCAATTGCAGCATTACATCATATTGAAAGCAGTACCTACCTATATTTAATGAAGTACATAAAAGCAAATTAAATCTCTTAGAGTAGAAGCAAAGAAGATTTCTATTCAAAACATTTAGTAAAATTTTTAAAAAAAATATTTCATCTGGGATTTTCCTGAAGTCCTACTGATTAATTTGTGATGGAAGTCCCTATATTTATTCTCTTCCCTACTACTTTAATGTCTTTGTTTTTATGTTACAACAAAGGAATGACTGAGGCTGGGTATTTTATAAAGCAAAGAGGTTTATTTGGCTTACAGTTCTGCAGGCTGTACAAGAAGCATGACACTAGCATCTGCTTCTTGTGAGAGTCTCAAGAAGCTTCCACTCATGGCAGAAGGTGAAGGGACACACGCATCATATGGCGAGAGGAAGGAGAAAGAGAGAGGGGAGGGAAGTGCCAGGCTTTTTTTAACAATCAGATCTTGTAAGAATTAATAGAGTGAAAAATCACTCCTTACCATGAGGACGGCACCACGCCATTTATGAGGAATTGACTCCCATGACCCAAACACCTTCCACCAGGCCCCACCTCCAATATTGGTGATCAGATTTACCATGTGATTTGGAGAGGACAAATATCCAAGCTATACCACCTAAATGTCTCTTCTCTCTCAATGTCCCACTGCTTTGGTAGCTACTGGGATTCTCCAGTGCTGTGCTATCCCCACATATGTATAAACATGTCAAAAAATCTCAGGAACCTCTAGCAAATCACAGCTATTCTTAGAAGAAAAGAGAGCTTGCAAGCTGTTCTTATACATCAATTCCTTGTGCTTGTTACAGGGTGAGATGTTTGATTTTAGATTCAACAGAGAAAGAAGTAGGCAGAAAATATTTATCTTTGTTTGAAAATGTTTGAAAACCACTATGTGCTAACTGGAATCTGCATCTGGGTCATTTGTGAAAGCAATAGATTTAACTTTATGAGCAGCTTCATTTACATAGTGGTACTCATAAAAAAATATTGCATTAACCACATCAAGTTCTTGTGAGAATTATATGAAGTGTGAACAACTTAAAATGTTCTTTAGAAATTGTGATTGTAACCAAATTGTCCCGCTTCATCATTTTGGTATATAGAATTAGGTTCAAACATTTAAAAAAAATTCAAGTTTAAAATTTGCATGTCTTTTTTACAACAGTATAGCTAGTAATATCCAACATAGTGCCTGTTTCAATTAATAAATTCTAAATGATAAAAATGAATAAAGGAAGAAACAAAAAATGCAATGAATAAAGTCTCAGTCTCCCTTTTCATCATGGATCCCTACCTCTCTGTCTTTTTACTCTTGCTCTCTTCCATGATAAGTTCAAAACCTTAGGAGATTACTAAATTATAGAATCAGTTCTCGATTTGACCACTTCATCATTAAGAGGAGAATGCCTAAAGGCCCGCTCATTGTGCAGGTCCTGTGCTCTTTATAGGATGTTATCTAGCCACAGGGTGCTGCTGGTGGTCTGGTGTCTGATTATACTCCTTTTTACTCAGGTAACCTACTCCCAACCTCTAGTTTCACTAGACTGTTACCAAGCTTTTTAAAGCAGAAATAATAATAAAATAGCATGTTTTTTTTTTTTTTTTAAAAAACAGCATATGTAGAATTAATATATATGACAATAAGAGCACAACAGATTAAGGGTTATTCTTTAGAAATACTTGTTAAAACAAATTATTTCTAAAGTAATAAAATATCTTTGCACATAGATTGTGATGAATTAAAGATGCATTTTTCTTCTCTAAAGCATTACTGAGAACTAGCACAAAATGCTTAAATTAAAAATTAGTAGACACATTATAATGGGATGTGAAAAAAATCATTCATCCTCACAAAACAAAGACAGGAGAAAAGTAACAGAGAAAGAAAGGACAGATTGGAAAAATAGAAGATGGACACCAATATTGTAAGTTGAAGTACAGATGTGCCCACAATTATAATAAATATAAATGTACTAAACATTCCAATTAAAGCAAGTATTGTCAGACTGAATAAAGAGTATAGATTTTTTAAAATATAAGAAACATACTAAAAATATGCAGATACAAACAATTTGAAGTTCTAGCAAAAAGAAGTCTATATGGCTAGAGTAATATCAAAATAAAAACTCAAGACAAAGGACATTACCAGAGATAAAGAGATCATATCATAATCATAAAAGGTTATTTAATTAAGAAGACATAATACTATTAAAGGGTTATGCACCCAATAACAAAAGTTCTCAATACATGATGCAAAAATTTATAGATCTAAAGGAAGATGTAAACAGAATAAATTGACTGAAAAAATTTAGTAAGAATATAGAAGATTTGAACAAGACTATCAACTACATTGACTTAATATTTATAAACACTATACTCAACAAAGTCACATAGAAAAGCAAACAAACAACAAAACAAACAAACAAACACAAAATCATACCTGAAGAGAGAGAAACAATTTTTAGAGATGTTCCAGTTACTATGGCTTATAAAAAATCACGCCAAGATTTTTTTTACATAAAGTTAACATAAGATTATCCTAAAATGTACAATTCAGTGGCATTCAGTACATTCACAATATTATGCTACCTAGTCCCCATCTAGTTTGAAAATATTTTCATCATCCCAAAAGGAAATCATGTACCCATGTACATTACAATCATGTAAGTAGTGACTCAACATTCCCACCTCCCACCAGTCCCTGGCAACCTGCTTTTTGTCTCTATGAATGTATCTATTCTGGGTACTGGCATGTCTTAGAGATATTGTGGGTTCAGTTCCAGGCCACTGCAATAAAGTGAATATCACAATGTCAGTCACACAATTTTTTTTGTTTCCCAGCATCTAAAAAAGTTATATTTATACTCTACTGTAGTCTATTTAGTGTGCAACAACATTATGTGTAAGAAAACAATGTATATATTTTAAATAAAGATACTTTATTGCCAAAGATTCTAACAATCACCTGAGCTTTCAATGAGTCATAATCATTTTGCTGGTGAAGAACCTTGCCTTGATGTTGATGGCTGTGGACTGATCAGGGTGGTGGCTACTGAAGGTTGAGGTGTCTGTGGCAATTTCCTAAAATGAGACAGCAATGAAGTTTGCCAATGGACTCATGGAGCCAATTGACTCTTCTTTTCATGAAAAAGTTATTCATAGCATGAGATGCTATTTGGTAGCATTGTACACAGATTATAACTTCTTTCAAAATTGGAGTCAATCCTCTTAAACCCTGTCACTGCTTTATCAACTAAGTTGATGCAATATTTTAAGTTGATGCAGTATTTTAAGTCACTGCTTTATCAACTAAGCTAATGTAACATTTTAACAATGTTCACAACATCTTCACCTAGAGTAGATTCTGTTTCAAGAAACCACTTTTTTCTACTCATCCATAAGAAGCAACTCCTCACGCATTCAAGTTCTATCATGAGATTGTGGCAATTCAGTCACATCTTCAGGCGCCGCTTCTATTTCTAGTTCTCTTGCTATTTCCACCATATATTCAGTTACTTCCTTCACTGAAGTCTTGAACACTTCAAAGTCACCAATGAGGGTTGGAATTTACTTCTTCCAGGCTCCTATTAATATAAATATTTTGATCTCCTCCCATGAATCACAGATGTTCTTAATGGCATCTAGAATGGTAAATCTTTTTAATGAACTTTTTCAAGTTATTTGCCCCCAGATCCATCAGAGGAATCACTATCTATGGCAGATATACCCTTATAAAATGTATTTCTTAAGTAACAAGACTTGAAAGTCCAGATGAAACTTGTTGATTCATGGATTGCAGAATAGACATTGTGTTAACAGACATGAAAATATTAATCTCCTTCTACATTGCCATCAGCACTCTGGGGTGACTGGGTGCATTGTCAATGAGCAGTAACATTTTGAAAGGAAGCTTTTCTTCTTAGCAGTAGGTCTCAACAGCAGGCTTAAAATGATTAGTAAACCATGCTGGAAACAGATGTGCTGTCATCCAGGCTTTGTTGTTTTATTTATAGAGCACAGACAGAGTAGATATAGCGTAATTCTTACAGTCCCCAGGATTTTTGGTATGGTAAATAAGCATTGACTTCAACTTAAAGTCACCAGCTGCATTAGCCCCTGACAAGGGAGTCAGCCTATCCTTTGAAGCTTTGAAGCCAGGCACTGACTACTTCTCTCTAGCTGTGAAAGCCTTAAATGGCACCTTCTTCCAGCATAAGACTGTTTTGTCTACATGGACAATCTGTTGTTTAGTGAAGCCACCTTCATCAATTGTCTTAGCTAGATCTTCTGGGTCACTTGGTGTGTCTTTTCCATCAGCACTTGCTACTTCATCTTATACTTTTATGTTATGGAGATGGCTTATTTCCTGAAACCTCATGAACCAACCTCTGCTACCTTTCAACTTTTCTTCTGCAGCTTCCTCAGCCTTCATGGAATTGAGGAGAGTTAGGACTTTGCTTTGGATTAGGCCTTGGCTTAGGGGAATGTCGTGGCTCATTTGATCTTCTATCCAGACCACTCAGACTTTCTCCATATCAGCAATAAGATTCTTTCACTTTCTTACCATTCGTGTGTTTACTGGAATAGCACTTCTAATTTTCTTCAAGAACTTTTCATTTGCATTCTCAACTTGGCTAAATGTTTAGCACCAGAGGCCTAACTTTCAGCCTACCTTGTCTTTCAACATGGCTTCCTCACTAAGC